CCCTACACGTGAAGTTTTCACGTGATTCATGATTCTCGAGGCTGCGAGCCCTTGACTTGCTAAAGCAAGAGCAACTCCAGCTAGCTGATGCTAGCTTTCGTGAAAAAGAACAAATCATCCCGGCAAGAAACCCAAAACAGTGTGTCTAAAAGTCAAAGGTCTAGAAGGTGCAGGAGAGGACGGTCTAGAGATCTAGATGCATTGGGTTCCAAAGAGAGGGGTGATGGTGGTGATGATGGTGATCGTGGTGATGGTGTGGTGGTGATGGCGGCAATGACGGTTGGTGGCGATGATGGTGCAAGCTTAGAATTGAAGGTGTGGGTCCAGAGTTCTAGAGGTCTAGAGGTGTAGAGAGAGATAGATGTCTGAGCACAGATACGAGAGCACATTTTTCCCACGAAGTCTGCACTTCAAGGTCCACAAAGCACTGTGCCTGCTACGAAATATGCACCCCAAGGTCCACAAAGTGCTGCGCCTGCCACATCAAAATTCACATCGCGCAGCCCTGCCAAGACGACTCGCAGAAAGAGCACTTCAAAAGACAACATCAAGAAACCAAAGCGCAGCTTTCGCTTGAGACTTCTTCCGACTTCTGAAAACAAGCCAGGTGTCCAACACTCACGACTCACTCCACGAAGTCAGAGCACGCCGAATCCCGCAGCCATGTCCAAAGCACCAAGCCTGCCATGAAATCTGCGCATCGCAAAAAATCGCTCCGACTTCCTGCACCTGTCACGAAAAGTTGACTCTGAACCACCAAAAACAAAAAGTGTGACCACCAAGTCCGAAAATGCACACGGCACCACAAAGAGAGCACAGTCGAGGAAAGCACCCGCTCCAGGCCAACCGGAAATGCACTTTGAAGATCTCAAGAGGCATGAATGTACCCTAAATAGCAACGAATTAGCTGCAAATGGATGCAAGCACCTCGATCAGACACCCGTCCTTAACACATACCATTAGAACTCCTAGTGTTGCCAGACTGTTTAGGTGAAAAAAAAGAAAGGAAGAACGGAAAAGGACAGATCTGAAAAAGACACCAAAAGAAAAAGAGCAAAGAACGAAATGTTTTCCGAGCGCTCCTCTGGGGTTTCCAGCTGTTGGGCCAATCGTCCCGAAAGAAGTCGGAGTGTTGCAAATCTCCGCCCGCAGAAATCATTGCGAATCCTGAAACACTTCACGCCAAACGCTTGAATCAATCTCAGATAAGTGAAGCTTTGGAGATGGATGACCACTCTCTTTTGTGTACCTGAAGAAACGGAGCACGGGTGGGCAAGTAGAAGCTAGCACTAGCGATGCAAAAGAACTCTACACGTCATCGAAATGGTTCCCAGATGTTCGTCGGTCAAAGTATCGCTCTTTGCGCGCCTGCCATGTGTGCATACAGCATGGACCAAGACTTCGTCCGCCTCTGAGCAGCCTCTTTCTCCAGGTCCTGCAATCTGAATGGCGCAAAGCGGCATGGAAAGACCCGGATGAGAAACAGAAATGCTTGGTAGAAGGTGGCCCTTACTTGGTGCTCTTTGGATGTCTAGAGGTGTTTGCAAAAAATACATATCTGTTTCAGAGCAACATGCACAACAACTCACACACGACCAATATGAACATCTTGTGCAAACCATGCACACAACCGGGATCGACGTTCATTGGAAACATCAGCGGATGCCGCGCTTTTGGACTTCAAACATGTCTGTAGATCTACGGAGTCGGACGGCAGGCGGTGGCGATTGCTGGTGAAGTCTGTGATGATGACATGATGGAAAGCAAATTGCTATTAGGTTGGAGGCCATCGCTATTAGAAACAAAGAAAAAGAAAAGGAAGAAAAGTCTAATAAGTTTGCTATTAGGAGCAAGGACGCTACTAGGGGCTCCTGGCCTTAATACTAGGAGCAAAAAGCTACTAGGGGCTCCTGGCATCGCTACTAGTAACAAGGACAGTACTAGTTTGCTATTAGGTTGGAGGCCATTGCTGGGCAAAAGTGCTAAACCAAGCTCCCCTGACCACAAAGCTCACCACGTGTAGCACCGCAAGGGTAGAGAGGTAGAGCTACGTGAACAAAGCATGTCGCACACCCACAGTCTTTGAGCGTGCACTATTTACGCGTTCCAATCATGCACACCATGTGTATATCTAGCAACCTTCTTGGTTTCCGTCCCTCAAAGCGTCGCACCAAACTTCAATTGATGTTCTTTATTCGTCCCTACAGTGCGGCTTCAATATGTGTTTTCCTGATGTTCTTTGAAGCACGGTCCTGGCCCCGTTGCGTTCGGGCCTCAAACTTTCACTCAGCGTGCGTCTCCCTTCTTGCGATGTGGACTACCATTTTGGCCTAGTTAAAGTGCACTGAGGTTTGGCAAGTCTTGTTGCACAAGCCGGGGTCAGCCGCAAATAGCTACTATATAGTTAGGTATAGTAACTACGTCCACCGGCCGTAGGTCGAAATGACATTTCTGATCACCAGCATGTCTCAGATGCCGGAATTACATTGGAGAAAGTGTGTTCAGTCAATGTACTCACCAGTAGAATGGCGACATCAACAGTGAAAAGAAGTTGCCCCCAACTATCGTTTTTTGGACATGTTTGGAGGGATATGTCTTCGATCATCTCCTGGATGCCACTGCTTCTCCAAGCATGGCGAAGGATGTCATGCAGGGGGGAATGTTTAACAAATATGTGAACAACCTATTGGAGAAAACAATCAACGCGGATGTAAGAGTAACTGGTACACGCCTGCGCAGTAACATTTCTTGGTAGAAGGAGGGCCAAACTGTAAGCAACAGCAAATAGTTCTCATGCAACGTATCAAAGTTGAGAGGCCATCTATCTGATTTCAAAACAATTTCCAGAGTGGCAGCCACAAAAGGATCAGGGGTGGAAGCATCACAAAAGGTCTTCAACAGGCTATCAATGTACAACGGGCCCACCTCAAAGCACCCTTTCAACAAGTGTGGAACTTCATCCACCCCTGTCCAGTGTCCCAACCGCAACAACAAAATGAAAGCAAGAGACAAAGCAGAAAGGGAAAAACGCACCATACTGAGACCTGGAAACTGCGGTATACAACGCACGCGCTTGACGGAAAAAACCACTGTGCCAAGAATAACGCATTTAAAAAGTGACATTGATGGAACATTAAATACTTTTCCGGGGAAGAGATGACTCACAACCTATACTGCATCGACAACGGACGTTATTATCCCAGCCCCACCCCCCCAACCCCGACTCTCCAGAACCCATGCTTATCACAAGAAAACCGTATAAAAAACATCAAAAACAACACGAAACACCACGGCCCTCTATGGGCGGTGCTCCAACTACCAAGTAGAAATACTAAGCGATCCAGTAGCTTCTTAGGTTTGGACGCAGAGGGGCTCAGGCAATGCCCTTGTTGCTAGTAGCTTCTTGTTACTACTAGTAAGGCACTTGATTCCTAGTTGTTTTGGAAACTTCATTCCTCATTAAAGAGGCCCTGTACATCCCTGTTACCTTATTGTGTTTTATTCTGTCGCATGTCTTTACTCTTTAAATCTCTAGTAGAAGTTGCTATTAGGTTGGAGGCCATTGGTAGTAGGTGGGAGGGCATCGCCATTAGGATCCTTTTGCATGTCTTTAGTCTTTACTCTTTAAATCTCTTCTCTTTGCGCTTTTGATCGTCTCCTCCATGGTCACAAAGACTTCCAACTGACCAATCTTGGCGATGCTCTTCTCTCGGGTACCGGGAAGCACTGTGGCTGTTGCTCGGCTGTCCTTGGCCGCGACAAGGTGCTGCCGCTTGCGCCCAACATCGAGATTGAAATAGAGTGACTAAAGGAGTAGATCGAGTAGACGAGGGTTTATCCGAGTCCATGTCCATCTTTGAACGTACGTCTGTATTGACATGAACAATTAGATCAACGGTTTTCATATAGTTTCTCAATATGCAGCTTGACCTCGGGAAACCAGCTCTTTGTTTGGAATTGAAAGCCCAGCATGCTCCAGGGCTTCAACTATACATGCCCAGCATCCAGGTCCTGCAGGGGAACGCCATGGTCTCCACGGATGGAGTCGTGGACCACCCAAGCCATTCCTCAAGGGCCAAGCCATCGAGGCTCGAAGCGCGGGGCGAATCGGGATCTGCGGAAAGCTTTTGTTTGTCATTGCGACACGTCCACAACGTCCATATGGGACAACGGGCATCGCTACTAGGAGCAAGGACGCTACTAGTAGCTATTTGCTACTAGTAGTAATGCCCTTGTTACTAGTAGCTTCTTGTTCCTAGTAGTAAGGCCAGGAGTCCCTAGTAGCGTCCATATCCTCAAGATTCCAGTTTTGGGCCGTATCCAGAAGGGAGGTCGTATCCTCCAATTGCCATGTGAGAGATGGATCATGGACACAAGAGGACGTGGAATGCTCAAGAAGCTCTGAGACCGACTTCATGTACTCAAAACAAACACCGGAGGCCGCTGACCTATTTGGAGTGAAGCTTGTCCCAAAGCACAACCTGCGCTGGGCTCTCCAAGACCAGCTTCGGACTAGCTTCGCACCTGCTCAAAACACGTCTCAAATGAGATCTTCACAGGTTGCCAAGTTGCGGCCGTCAGGTCTGGAACTGACGCAGAATGCTTTGGCGAAATAGGCCTCAGATGTCGGTGCCAAAAGAGAGCGAAGTAGGCCTTCTTGGGTGATTCCACAAGCCATCACCAGGCAGCGATTGGCTACGCACCCTGGGTGCAGCAACTTTTACAGTATCAATTCCAAGTTACGATCATCACCTCGGCCACCGCCAGCCTGAGTGCCAAACGGCTCAAGTAGAACAGTCCAGGCATTATTTCTAGCTCACGCCACAAGATATAGAGGTCGAGCAATAACCTTCGCGTCGAAAGAATCGGCATGGCAAACCGCCAAGACGTTCACCAAACTGAGCAGCGACGTGGATCCACAATGTTTCACGACATCGAAGTCTGGTTTGTTTCCACCAGTGCTTCTTGACGAGATAACAAGTCCAAGCAAGGAAATCCTCCTTTCTGCCAGACGCAAGATATTCAATGGTCGAACTTGTTCCGAATCATGGGCTCGGCTATAAGTTGTGATCTCCCGTCACAGGGCTATTGAACTCATGAAGCCACCCGTACCTACGGTATACCAACCTCTGGGATCCAAGCCCGCCATAACCCCAGCGGTCGATGGAACACTGTCGCTGACCAGTGACCAAGCGATGAAAATGACGTATCCAGCAGCCACACCTCAACTCGGACTATGTTGTCGAAGTGATCAGGATAAAGAGCAGGGCGGGTTCAAGTCATCATACAACAATGTCGATTTATCGAACAAGCCGCGTGCGGTGTTGACTACCGTCTGCTATGAAACACTTTCTGCGCTGCCCTAACGATTAGACGGCCTCTAATCAAGATGTCTCCTACATAAGCCCTTCTGGTCACGGCAAGAATCACCTGTGGTGTATGTTCAGGATAACTTTATAGCCAAACATACCCTTGTCTTATGTTCAGTGAAAGATCAAGCCGTCAGGCACGTGGTTGCAACGTCGACTAAACTGCTTTCGACGTCGGTGCAACAGCTAAACCCAACATCCTCAAAGGCCTGACTCGCTCAGAGTCAAGCACGCTCCACTCCCCGTGAGGTCTGGCCAAAACACGCGCAACTTGTCTCCAGCCTTTGGGGAATTCCTTAACACAAAAGCCGCAAGTCGCTTTCTTGCAGATTCCTTTTCATTGAATGGCAAAGACAAAACACCAAACCAAAACATACACATCGAGCAAGAATAATATGGTGATCCATGACTATGGTCCAATGGTGGGGAACAACTGACTTTGCTTTGCGGAGGTCGAATTTTTCGACGGTATAGTTTTGGTCTTGACGTGGTGATGGACATCTGGCTTGGGAAGCGTTTTGGGAAAGAACAAGAAGCTACTAGTAACAAGTGCATCGCTACTAGTAACAAGTGCCTTACTAGTAGTAACAAGAAGCTAATTAATTTTAATTCTAATTGTTACTAGTAGTAAGGCACCTGTTCCTAGTAGCTTCTTTGTTGCTCGCCTTCAGAGTCAGAACTTGCAAGCCTGGAGAGCATCAAAAGCTCCCGCTTCGAGGGGGCCATTCAAAGCTCTCTTATGGAATTCCAAGCTCACCCCAGCTTCAACGGCACGGCGGCAGAGAATTTCCTGTGCCCAAAGTTGACGCAGCGATCCTAACATGAGCGTGCATCAGTCTCAGCAAGACAGCCTCTGCTTGGAAGCTTGCTCTGTGCAAGTAGAGGCGGGGACGCCATCTGCATAGCCATCTGCGAGCTACGCCAAAGTATGTAGGATTGGGGCAATCTACCTGCTTGCCTTGTGACAGCATTTGCCCATCTGCGGCTGGAAGAAGGTAACTAAGCCGCACCAATATGTAGCTTTGCGGCCGGCGCGACAAGTGCGGGAGAGGTGCCGGGTGAGCCTTTCATCTCAAATCTTTACCTGCTTCCTTGCTTTGCCGCGGGTAGGGGGTGGCCGGCGGCCGGCGGCTGGGGACTAAAAATGACTATAGAGGACGAGTTGTGGACACCCTTCTGTGTGCCCTGAAGGGTTCCACTTGCAGTCAGTTCTGGTGAATAGCCATTGGAAGCGAATACAGCATATGTGCAGAGCTTTACAAGCTTCAGTTGTTGAGTGACAGCAAGCGGCATGAGTTCAAAGACCAAAGTATTCCCCAGGTTAGTCTCGAACGGCTTCATCTTGTGCGTAGCTTTGTCAAAGGCAATGGGCTTTTCTTGGCTAGAGCAATCGGTGCACAGACGTGTGGCTTCGTGAAAGCCAAAGCAAGTTCGCAGAAACAGGTTTGCCCTAAGTGTGGAACAGTGACACCCTACTGGGACCATGTATGGTCCTGCCTTCTCGGTATGGATCCCCCTGTTGATCTTTTCATGAGACGCTTTGGTTGGCCTCGGAGCAACGGTGACCTGGTAGTACTACAAAATTTTCATGAAGCGCTTGATGCCTTAGCTCAGAGCTGAGGTAGTTTGTGCAGTTTGGTGGAACGCTTCACTTGCTCAGTTCGAGGGCTGCATGTTTTGTTTCCTAAAGCTGGATCTTCAATTTCCAGGTTCAACTTGGCGGAGCACTTCATTTGGTTTGCTTGAGAACTGCAGGTTTTGTTTTACTTTATCGGTCCTTAGGTTTCTTTGTGGAGCCCTTCGTTCGTTCTCGGTTCGAAGCTTTGTTCCTTGATGGAGCTACAGTGTCTGGTTCTACGGGGCTGGCCACTCCAAAAAGACGACACTAAAAAAGACTGTGGCGCTAGTGGAACTAGGGACCATTCTCAGATCAACCAATCTGGGCTTCTCTCGCGTTGACCCAAGATTTGTGCAGTCTCCACCTCATGACAAGACACCCCAAGCACTGGACTGATGACAAACACCACGATCACTTCATCTGCAGCACTGAAGATGAGAATCGCCTCAGCGCGTGCTCTCTCTCTCTCTCTCTCCCCCCTCGAGCTTTTCCAGAAAAACACAGTCTTTCAAAGTAAGAACAGAAGAAAGGAAGAAAGCATGGAAAACACGAGGTTGAATAAAACATAGCAACGACTAAGACCTGGACACAGAAAATGGAGATGGTCGTGCTGATGTTGCTCCAGGAATAACGCCTCAGAATTTAAAACTGTCAGAGAATTTCCCAACAAAGACATCTTGATAGGCCCAACCCTCTGCCAAGTAGATAGTCCGATGCTTACAGTATCAGAAATCCTCTAGTTCAGTGCAATTGCAATACCTATGGGCCATGCTCTAAGCACAGACACAAAGCACTTAGAAGACAGGAGCCATAGACAGGAGGAGACCCTTTGAGACTCTTCTGCTGTCTGCAAGGGACTTGATGTCGTCGTCCGGGTAGTTGACAAAATAGAATATTACCTTCACAGCCGACACAGAATGACACAGACTGGGAGATGTTGACTTCTTGCTAAGGTTCTTCATGAAAAACACATCCGCAGAAGCACAAAAAGAGCACTTGCCAATTCTATCTTTTCTGCAGGTGCCATCTTTTTGGCAATCCTTGAGACAGAAACTCCGTGCTCTTTTCTCTCTAAGTGGCCATGATGAAAAAGAACATCCCCATCATCATAAAGCCGCAGGTGACATCCTCTCGTGTAAACTCCTGCCACAACTGGCCGCTCGAAAGCCAAAGACATAGCTGAAAGTTAACAAATTCCAAAAGTATTATTGAGTGTCTGACTAGACTCTAGGGTCATGGGAATTGCTTTCATGGCTTTGGTCGCCCATTTGCATCCAGTCCTCTTCCTCGTCTTCTCCAATAATCTCTTCTATCTCTTCTGGCAATCGCAAATGGGGACGTCCGCGAACTACACATGGACGCAGGCTAGCTCATGCACTAATGATCTGGTTCCTAGATGTTTTGGACAACTTAACATACCATATGGGATCACACTGCCTTCCAGTACGACAAGACTGCTCACTTTTTGAACAGCTCAAGCTACAAGAATTGACAGAACTTAAACTCTTCTCGAAGCTGAGAAGTCAGTCTCTCTAGTCATCTCTAGTCGACTGTTGCTATATCTGCCATACAGGTAGCTGCGGTCACTTCGTCACTCCCCACCTAGGCCACCCTCCTCTTGAAAACCACCTCTCAGTAGGGGCACAAAGCTCTGTTGAAGCAAAGCTGTCCTTTCAGAATTTCTCTTTTAGTAGAGAACACCGAGAAGAGCAAAGCAAACAAATACAGCCAACACTGATACGCATATTGTTCCAACAAATCTGGTATCCACGTGCAAGTGGAAGCACATCTAGGCCACATGACCCTCACCTGAGTTCGTGCCTTCATGCTCCAACTCCTGACAGGCGTTTCTTCGGTTCACAAAAGGGATGGCAGCACTTTGAACCCTGTGAACCAAACACCTGAACAACTCTTTGCTTCACGTTGCAAAAACAAGAACAACATTCTCAGCATTCTTGCTAAGAGACCGAGAATCGCAGTCTTTCTACCAAGGAGTACAAGGAGTAGTTGGGTGACAACTTGAGAAAAACCAGGGTTGGCGCCCACTTAATTAAGTAAGGTACTAAACATGCTCCTAGCTACCAAAGCTTCTAGTAACTGGTATAGCTCACGCGTCTTTGCGCTAATGATTTGGTTCCTAGATTATTAGGGAAACTTAACATACCATATTGAAAAAGAAAATATATTAGCAGAATTGGTGTTCCTTCATCTTTGTTCATCCCTCTCCCCGTCCGAAGCACTGGCGCTATTGCCGCAAAGGCCAAGCAGAAGCGCCACCACGAGCGCTTTGAACAGTCGCATGGCACACTTTGGCACCGCTGACGTTCGTCGGTTGAGCCAAACGCTGAAGTTCGGTGTCGCCTTTTAATTGGTGGCAGTTCCGAATTGTTTGTTTCTTTTGGGGGGGCCCGCACTCTCCTTCTCATTAAGCAGGCGCCTACAAAATGGAGTAAGGGACTCTACTAAGTTAGCTTCTAGACATGGCTGGCCAGAAGCAGCCTTCCCAAAAAGTGTTTCATCCCCCATACTCGAACAGTCAAAACCTCATCCACCTTCCAAATTCACATGCAATCTCCGGTCCGGAAGCCTTCACCACTGAGTTCGAAAGACCCAAGGTTCGTCAGAAACCATATCTCCAAGTTAGGAAGCTACTAGGAACAAGTGCCTTACTAGTAGTAACAATGTTAGCCATTAGAAACAAGTGCCTTACTACTAGTAACAAAGGAATCTAGATCAAAAAAGACGCTTCCCGGTCACATATC